CATACGACAAAAGAACAAACTTTTAAAAGGGTCTTGAGTAACATTTGTTGGTATATGTATTTATAATAGAAATATTAAGTCATAAGTCATAATAACAAATAACTTTTGCCTAGCTTAAAATATCGAGCAATATCTTTCGGATTTTCTTTTTACCCTAGAAAAAGTACCTATGTATGGGAATTTTTATGTGTGTCTTGTGTAAATCGTTTTAATGGCTAATGTTCGATCTGTTAGATCTGTAAAAAAATTCGTGGTGGTAGTGGTTGGGTGGGGGGGCGTAACCACTAAATTTTCAGCATATACTATATACAGTAGTTCTCCCTTACGGAAGAGTATTAGTGCCAGGAGGTTAGGGGGTTAGTAAGGGGGTAGAAAATTTTATTAATTGAAATCAGGCTGAAAACATCACCATTCTCAAATACTCATGAAAATGAAAATGGATAAATGACTCTTAAATCTCACCGTATGTTTTAACTTATGTAAAATTTAACATCTGAGATTGATAAAGTGATAAAGTACATTTTTATTTGTTATCTCATTTAAAATTAGTAATAAAATGACTATTTTCCTGTTTTTAATCTTCAAAAAGACGTCCCCCCCCCGTAAGACAACAAAACCGTTGGAATGGATAAAAACTGGAAAAAAAGGATCTGTTGTTTCGCGGGGGAAGATGTTTTGAAAATAAATTTCCATTTTCCGTTAATTTCTATAGTGAAATATTTTCTATTAAAGTCTCAACCTGCTAATAATTGATCTCTCTGTTCTCTTTTTTTTAATATATCAGTGTATCCACAGCGTTTAGAATTATCAAAAAAAATTTGGTAAAATTTTCAGTTTTTATGAATTATGAATTTTTGCATATTCCTCTTGTAAGCATTGATCTGATATTCTTTGTATATCAATAACTGAATTTTACAAACCAAGACCCAAGTACCTGTGAATTTTTTAGACAGATTTATGAACGAAAGTGTATCTAGCACTCTCAATTTAAAAAGAACATTTTATAAATAGTTTCTCCTTTTTCTGTGTGGGTGGTGCCGCGGTGGGCAAAGCTTTGCGTAAAATCCGGGAAGCTCTCGTTCGGATGACTATGGAACGCCATAGCTGCCTGAAGGTCATTTTCATATTATATGAGGTGGAATAACCTTTATGTGAAGTGGTGAAGTCATTATATATAGTGGTAAAATCATTATATTCAATGAAAACTTTATTATATGCAGTGGTTTTAACATTATATACAGTGATAAAATCATTATATTCATTGAAAACTTTATTATATGCAGTGGTTTTATCATTATATACAGTGATAAAATCATTATTTTCATTGATAACTTTATTGTATGCAGTGGTTTTATCATTATATTCAGTGGCAATGTCATTATATGTAGTGGTTAAATAATGTAATGAAGTGATAATGTCGATACATTATGTTGTAAAATCATTATATGCAGTGGTTTTTCCATTTTATACATTACTGATATCTTTCTGTGATGTGATGAATTCAATATATACAGTACAAACATAATTTGTGTGATAAAGCAATCATTACATTGTATGAAACCCGCTGCATGTGGAGTGCCAAGTTAATTTCATTCAGTGCGACACCTTTACATGAAGTGAAAAATCTATATGTGCAGTACTAACATCATTATATTATATAGTAAAATTATTATATATATTCCTTAAATCATGCTTTGCAGTAGTAACATCTTTATATGAGGTGGTTAATTAATTATATGATGTTGTTAATTTGTTATATGATGTGCTCAAATCTTTATATGCATTAGACGTTTCATGTTATGCAGTGGTAACTTCTTTATCATCATCTAAACTGGTCCTTTTATTTAAAAAAATGCGCGGAGTTCCAGTTTAAAGAGTGTTTGAAAATAGGAAACCCGGGCCGTGGCAAATTGAAAGCCGGGACTATTCGAGATTTTTCTAATTTCTGATTCTATTATACAGCTTCCTGATTTTATCATCTTTGCTGAAATTTTAAGACTCATTTTTATAGGTTAATGTGTATTCGCTGTAAAAATTGCATTTAATTTTAAAATACTTAGTAATTTAGATTTTCTTGGCGATTGTTGATTTCCAAGTTCAGTGGTGGATCCAGGAATCTTGAAAAGGGGGGCCCGACAAGTTTTTGGTCGGGGTAGGTAGCCCACAGCCAAACCAAAAAACAATTGATTTATTAAATCTTATGTATATTTTGGACACAAGGGGGGGGGGGGGGGCGGGCCCCATAGGCCCTCTCTGAATCCGCCCGTGAGGTTGGTAAATCGGGTAGGCAATCAAGTAGACATTTTACGTGTTTTGTTGGTTTGTTTGTTTTTTTTTGTTTGTTTGTTTTTTTTTTGTTTTTTTTTGTTTTGTTTTTTTTTGCCATATTTGACAGAAAGCTAATAAACTTTTAAATTATTCTGATGTTAAAAATTATTCATTCTTTGAAAGGAATTTATTGAGTGAAATGACACGTTTAAGAAAAACCGGTTCACATAGGCGTCGAAACCGGGTGGGGGCTATTGCCCCCCCCCTTTTTTTTTTTAAAAGGTAGACATAATATAGGCATTGAAAATTCGGGCGTAGGTCTAGCCCCCCCCTCCCCACTTTCTACAGGCACGATTCATTGTAGTGAAAGAAGGGTAATTGGTAGTGTTTAAAAGAATTTGGTACTGAAAGATGTTCGACCAACCCCCCCCCCCCCCACCCACCCACACCCCCGAAATAGGATTTTCGGGTTTGGAGAAAGAACAATTTTCCTTTTTTTTTTTTGCTTGTCAAGCTTATTTTCAGGTTTGATTTTTTTTTCTATTTCAATTAGCCACCCCACTATCAATTTCGTTCCGACGCCAATGGTTCATTAAAATCGGATTTGATCTCCCGGAAGTCAAACATAAAAAATCCGAAATACTTATTCATTATCTACATGCCATTTGATAAAATATAAATTAATTAAAGAATTATCACATATACATGTAATTATAGGACTATTAATGCAAAGCCTTGTGTCAAACTTTAATCACGCGTAAGTTGCTTGGTTTAAGAATATCCGATCCTCAGCCTTGAAGGATAACTCTTAATTTTATCATTTTATTCAAAAAGGCTAAAATGATTTTAATTTGGTTGTTTGTTTGCTGTTTAACGTCCCTCTCGAGAATTTTTCACTCATATGGAGACGCCACATTTTGCCAGTGGAGAGCTGCAAATTTTGTCCTATACTCGACACTTACGGCCATTGAGCAGTGAGGGATTTTTTTTCGTGCCAACACCTACTGTGGAACGGGACCTCGGTTTATGGCTTTATGCGGTCTCTTACGAAGGACCGGTCTCAACGTCCCACTGTCGGATTCGAACCCGTGACGTAAGGATTGACTCCTTATTCCGCGTCTCTTAGAGCAGACACTCTAATCACCCTGCCACGTTGGCGACGGCAAAGATGAAACTTGAAAATGAAATGTTTTCATGCAGCAATTTTTATTTTAAGCATTTCAATGTGATTTAAGGTTTTCTGAAGTCTTAGAAACAGTCTTATAAATAGTTGATATTAGTAATTTAACACCCCCCCCCCCCCGAAAAAAGTATTAAACAAATTACATATTTAACGTAATCCAGTTTCCTTCCATCTACTAACATATAGATACATGTACCAGTACACATTTGCATATTATGAAATTAGAAATGATTTATGGTGTTTTGCACCAGGTTCTTCCCGGATGATCGGATCTGGTTTAATAATCCTTTTTTTAATGAAAATGTGTATTTTGCATAAAAATAGCATTTTCAAATAAAGAAATAACTATCAAAAAGAAAAAGTTTTTTTTAGTTAAAATACAGTGTTTAACATCGGAATAATTTTTAAGTTTATTAGATTTTTATCAAATATGTCAAAAAAAAAAAAAAAAAAAAACCACACACATAAAATATCGCCAACCCAGTCTACCCATTTTACCAACATGGAAATCAACAATCGCCAAAAAAAAATCTAAAATACTAAGTACTTATAGCACAATGGATAAAATATTAAATCAGAAAATTGAAACTGCCTACCAATTTTACTTGAAACCAAAAATCGTAAAGAAAATCTAAAATACCAAGTATTTAAATACAATTTTTACAGCGAAAACACATTAGCCTAAAAAAAGAGTCTAAAAATTTTAAATCAGAAATTTGAAAAATCTCGAATAGTCCCGGCTTTTAATTTGCCACGGCCCGGGTTTCCTATTTTCAAACACTCTTTAAACTGGAACTCCGCGCATTTTTTAAAAATGTTTTTGCAAGAGGACCAGTTTAGATGATGATAAAGAAGTTACCACTGCATAACATGAAACGACCAATGCATTAAAAGAATTGACCACATCATATAACAAATTAACAACATCATATAATTAATTAACCACCTCATATAAAGATGTTACCACTGCAAAGTATGATTTTAGGAATATATATAATAATTTTACTATATAATATAATGATGTTAGTACTGCACATATAGATTTTTCACTTCATGTAAAGGTGTCGCACTGAATGAAATTAACTTGGCACTCCACATGCAGCGGGTTTCATACAATGTAATGATTGCTTTATCACACAAATTATGTTTGTACTGTATATATTGAATTCATCACATCACAGAAAGATATCAGTAATGTATATAATGGAAAAACCACTGCATATAATGATTTTACAGCATAATGTAACGGTACTATCACTTCATTACATTATTTAACCACTACATATAATGACATTGCCACTGAATATAATGATAAAACCACTGCATATAATAAAGTCATCAATGAATATAATGATTTTATCACTGTATATATTGATTTTATCACTGTATATAAAGATAAAACCACAGCATATAATAAAGTTTTCATTGAATATAATGATTTTACCACTATATATAATGACTTCACCACTTCACATAAAGGTTATACCACCTCATATAAAATGAAAATGACCTTCAGGCAGCTATGGCGTTCCATAGATGACGTTCGGTTTCGTGCTATATACACTCAGTCATGTCTATCAAGCAGGTGGTACGGTTGTTATTTGTCGCGATTTTGTCTTGTTTTTATTCCAGTCTTGTTCTCATATCGTTTTTATTCCGTCCAAAATGGTTGTTCGGTGGATTTTTCAAGAAACCAAAGTCTGATAAACCCCCTGAATGCCTAAACGACCCGGATCTTGGAACCCACGGCTTTGTACATTTGGAGGTGAGCATTTTACTGTTAACCTTTCACCTGTCTACTTTCTGTTTGTTGCAATCATGGACGTACATGTTATAAATTGTATATTGTGTATATTAATACAGATTTATAAAACCCATTTTAAAAAGGAGTTTAAGTGGTGTAGGTCAACCGAGCACGTTAAAAGAGAAATGGAAGGGTGATCATATTGGCGAATTTTTTCCCCCAAAGGAATGATTTTTTTTTTTAAATTAACGTTAAACAGATACATAAATGTATATTTTTTAAAAATCCTATTAGAATTTTAGGTGAATATAAGTAAAGTGTATGCATTTAGTACTATAGTAGGGGAGCAAGTAGGCATTATCTTAAAAGCAATCAGGTGACACTATATTTTGACCTGTAAAACATTTATAAATATCTTAGATATTCTAACTTGTGTGTGCACTGTGAAAATCATGGGTACTACTAAACAAAGTACACTAGAGTATTACAGAGTACTTTAGAGTATGCTGGTAAAATTTTCTAATTCAATGCAAGATTGTTTATATATATATACAAACATTACTTAAATAAACATCGATCATTATAAAATAATATTGCAATATTTATCTCCAAATTTTGTTTTTTACCGATATTTTGACCAGAAAATATAAGCTGACATCCCAATCCCAATTATTATTTTGTTTCGATGACTCATCCAATTTGAAACTAAATCCAAAAATAATGATTTATTTTCTTGTAAATTACTTTTTTGAACGAATTTTACATAAAAATTCTCGAACTCGGTATCACATACAAATAATTAAAGGTAACTAAAAGAAAAGTTTTACTAATTAAATAGATAAATTCTAATTTCAGTATCAAATAAAGAATAATGTGCATATAACATGTATATTAAGATACTTCAATGAAAAATACCTATGTTTAGTGGACGGACCTCAAAAAAACTTAAACGTACATGTAAAAAAGACAAGAAAATAAGCTATTATCTTGATGATAGAAGTAAAATGTTCTATTATTAGATCGGGATCGGGGTCAAACGGTAAATCATAACCAGAAACGATTAATTGAAATAATTCCGAAAATAATGAAAACATACACAAATTATTTAAGATATAGAGGATATTCAATGTTTTGTAGATGAATATGGAATTTATTTCACGAGTGGGACATGATTTTTTGATATTCGCACACATGAAATATCAAAAAATCATGTCTCACGAGTGAAATAAATTCCATTTTCATCTACAAAACATTAAATTTTCTGTTTATTAAATTTTCTTAGATTTTCCCTTTCCCTCTGTCTTTTCGTAACACAGTGTCATAGGCTGTGACGTCATTGTTGAGTGGTTGAGACGTCATTATTAGCTGAGCAATTGCGAGATTGAAAAACGTTGTAAACATGGATTTTTAATGACATATTTGGAAAAACTTTGGCAGAATAACTATTAGTCTCTGTCAGGATGGCTCATTAATTCTATCTTATAACAGGCCAGGGATTTATTTAAAAACACTCTTCGTGAAGGAAACGAAAATCGTAATGAAGTTTTGCCACACTTCTGATATTCTCACACTGTGAGAATACCATGCTTTCACACTGTGTCAGAATATCACTTTTATTCAGTAAATAAATTACAGTATTTCACTGTTGAAAATGTAATAAATATATTTATTATGTTAAACTTATGTAGAAACACATATAAAAAGCATTTTATTTGCATTAAATTGTAAAATTTTACCACCGTACTCTAAAGTACTCTATCATACTCTAGTGTACTCTGTTTAGTAGGACCGAAAAATCATTTAGTTGTTGTTTATAGACAGTGAAACTTGTGTTGTTGTTTATAGACAGTGAAACTTGTGTATATTTAATATTCCTCAAGTATAAACTTTGTGTACTTTTCCAACTATATATTTCATTGGATACAAAGGAATGTATCTTGGTCTACCCAAAAAAAAAAAAAAATCATTTCCATGACATGGGTAAATTAAATATTATTCCCTCTTTGTAATATATATCAAACTCCTTGAGTTGTGTTGGAGAGGTTCAAAATGCAAGTCATTTTAATTTTATTTTTTTGTATTTTTTGATGTATAATTTAACCTGAATTAAAATGTTTTTACGGACTTTGTCTGGAATGCATCTTTTAAAGCAGGAGTGTATGATCTGGTATATGTTAACTGCAAACAGGGAACACCAGGGAATGAGGGTTGTGTTACTTGATACTGTAGATCTTTTGTCCATGAATCTGTTCTTTTGCACACACTACCACTACAATATATAAACATATGCCAACAATGAACTAATTGCAGATTGCTTATCAATGTGATTGTGGGAAGTTTGTCTACAATTTGTTCTTTTCTTTCTTAGGGGTCATTGAGTCTTGACAGCAAATAATGTAAGCATGCAGTTCCAAGAGAATTTTGATTGTATTCTGTGGCATCTAGTAGGTTCTACTCGCTGTTTACCATATTACTAACAGGATGATCTTTAATGACAGGTGTTTTTAATGATTTCTCTCATCTATCAGGAATTTGCTATATATGTTAATTCTCTCATTAAAAAAAATCCCTTGCATACTACATTTAATTTAATTGTAATAATTCTTATCAGTCATTTGCTTTCTGTATGGACTTTTTCAAGATATCAATCATCAACATAATGTCCTGACTGACCATCATCACTGGTCAGAAATTTCAGTTCTCTCCACGATTTTACACTACAATGCTATTTTAATTTGCTTTCACATTTCTTCATTCATACATACTTAAGACAAATCCTCTTATTTTGAATTCCAGAAATTCACATACTTACAATCACTGCAAAAGATGTTCATGAGTTCTCAGTTCCTTGTGAAATTTTCAGAAGTATAAAGTTGAACACTATGGAAAAGTGATTGGCTATACTGGGGAACTACATGTACAATTAAACACTGTTTTCTCAAACCCAATGGGACCAAGAAAAAATTTGAAATATCTGAGGATTCAAGAAATTGAGGTTAAAATACAGAAAGAAAAAAATGGTTAGACTTTCAGCTCACTTCAATATATCCATCATACTCGTGATATCGATGTTTGAGATATATAGATTCCATAACCAGTGTATCCACTGAGTTAGTAACTGTTTTTTCTTAAACTGTCGTTCCTTAATTTTTTCAATTTTCAAGAGATGCAAGTCTTTCTAAATGTGTCTCTTGAAAATTAAAAAATAAATGAACAAGAGTTTTAGAAAACCAGTTATTTACGGGTACTGGTTATGGGACCTCTTTCTCCCATTATACAAACAAGAACTTGTGTGTTTTGGTGAAATAAACATGGCGCTGAAGAAGTTGCTATCCTGTTAGTATGTACATCTCTGGTAGTAACCTCCAAGATCTGTCAAAATGAATATATATATATATATATATATATATATATATATATATATATATAGGATCTCCCATGATTTGTAGTTGGATATGATTTTTATCCAACGAGTTGTGTGTTTTTTATCCCCGAGCCTTGGCGAGGGGATAAAACCACACAACGAGTTGGATAAAAGTCATATCCAACTACAAATCATGGGAGATTCTTTTTATCCCATGTTTAATATACTTCACAACCAATGTTTTACACTGTTTTATATAGGACTCCACTTTATTTTACTTCATCGCGCTAACGCAAAAACCATTGTGACGTCACAACTGTGGATTATGAAAAATTTATCCAATGAGTCATATCCACGGGATAAAGGGGTAAACATGGGATAAATATATATATATACATTGTATATATATATATATATATATATATATATATATAATATATATATATATATATATATATATATATATATATATATATATATATATATATATATAGGGAAAAATATAAAGAAATAAAAATTTAATCATAGATGCTACATGTAGATGTTAACCAGGTTCTTTTTAGGTCTTGATTTCAAGGACCTGGGCCTTGAACTTCAAATTGGGGAAAAATAAGCTAAGTTAAATTTTCTTGAAATTGGGAAAAAATTTCATACAAAGAAGTATTGAAAAAGAGCAAACCAAAGCATAAAGTATGTATAATTGCATGCATGGACTCCATTTGGCTTTCAATTTGAAAAAATAGGTTAACAGTTTTGTGCAAAAAATTGCAATCTATGGGCCTGTGAAGGAGAGATTTATAAACGATAAGGCTACCTTGCTTTGACGTTTTTTTTTTCATTTTGGGGGAATTTTAAAGCAAAAATTGGGAAAAATACCTGTTTTTCAGCATTGGGAATGGGACCTTATTTCGGCCCCCAACAGACCATATAAAAACCCCTGTTAACAAAAATTTTATGCCATCATGGGCATGAACTTGGAAAATAGACCCTGGGATTGGAAAAGCAGCCAATCAGAATTAATTGCCCTAGGTGTTTCGTAACATGTTATGAGTACGAAAAAAGAACAACTGTGCAAGAGAGATGATCGAAACACAGCTGATAATGGGAAAAAACAAAGTTCAACTGTATATCCAAATTGAATATGCTAATTATCCATGAAATGTAGACTATAAAAATATAAGTATCACATCTGAAAAATTAAAGATTCCAGTTTATAGATATCAGAGTAACACTCATAGACAATATATTTTATCTTAGTATTGCATGTTAAGTCATATATATTGAACTTAATCTACATTATTAAGGTCATCTATTCATTTTACATATGACCTATGATAGTGTCATCACAGAAGAAAAATGATAATAAGAAAGTAGAACAGATCCATCCTTGATTAGTTTAATATTTAGAACAGGAAATTTTTATGATGATTTAATAAATTTCTCTAGGTTCAACATGTTCAAGCCTTATCCTTTACTGTTAATATAGTAAAGAAGATTTGTTGGCATTTTGTTAATGCTATGGTTGTTGTTATGATCTTGTTAGCAAATATAAGCTGTCATTGGGCTGCTGACATGTTTCATACCAAGTGTTAGGCCTTTGTTTTTATACTATTTGACTGTGACCAGTTGACAGGAGATGCTTACTCCTCCTAGGCACCTGATCCCACCTTTGGAATTTCCAGGGATCTGTGTTTTATACCCTGTTCACAGATTTGTATTGTTTGTAGATTTTTTTTTTGAGATTGATGACAGATTGATCACTGTTTGTTATCTTCACCTTTTCTATTACATTACATATACCATATAAATCTTTGTAGCTGTGGAGGAAGATATGCATGTGTCAACACAGTCATGAGCAAATGATTTCCTCATGCAGACTTCTTTATCTAGAAAAAAAAAAAGCCATATGTTGAGCAAACTTTGATAAAAGAAATATAAACAGTTGTATGATAAAGATTAATCAGAATCTGAATACAATATGGAAACTTGTCCCTGGACAAACAAGACTAGATTATACAGTCATAATGACATGCCATTGCATAATGTGGTTAATATGATAAAGAGGTGGTTTAAGAGTGGTTGTGGGAAGTAATTGTGGAATGTTAAGTGACAACTTATGAACCTTGAGAACACTTGAATTGATAATTTATTATGTGTGTAGGAGGTAGACAGTGATATTTCATACTCAAGTGTATGAAGAAAATTTGTTTGCCGTATTTAATTTTTGTTCTGAGTTTAACTAGAATAATGATTATAATGCAAGGTATTCTTAATTATAACAAATAGATACATATTCAGATACATGCTTTAAATTTAAATCAGGGGAAACATGACAATGGGCAGTGTGGTAGATGAAATGAACTAAAGACTTGCACTATTCTACGACATACATGTATAATACACTGTATATACATGTAGTCCCTATGATTTTAGGAGGTTCGGATCTACTCTACACTGTTTTATATTACTGTAACATGACATAATGTATCTGATGTGACCATATCTGGTTTGATTGAACATTTTGTATAATTACATTGTACCTGGTTGTCCCTATGACTGTGGGAGGTTCAGATTCACTAACACTGTTTTTTAACAGTACATACTAGTAAATGTACCTGGATGGTTTGATTTGAACAGATGTTATTTTATAATTACATTGTACCCGATTATCCCTGTGATTGTAGGAGGTTCGAATCCACTATGTGGCAGCTGGAACTGAGGGGAAGCCACTCATGCTTTTGGTCCATGGATTCCCGGAGTTCTGGTACTCATGGCGATTTCAGCTCAGAGAATTCTCCAAAGAATACAGGTATTAATGTAATCAAGTGAGCCTTATGCTGCAAACAGTATATTCATTTTTATAACTAATCAGTTTCAGTTTTAGTTTTTCTTGGCCTTAATTAACAAGTAGGGGTACTTGTATACAGGATTTTCTTAATCTTAATGAATTGAATTTATTTTAAATAATCAGGACATTGTTTCAATGTATGTATTTTCCTTGGTCAAGTCTTGTCTGCATTTGCACAAAGAGAAAGGTCCTTTTATTTGGCCTCAAACTAAGTTTGAGGAATATAAAAAAATCATAAATATGTAGTGAAGTTCATTTTGAAAGGTTGGTTAGGGGACTTAAGTTACAGATCTGTAACTCAGATGTCTGTAAAAAGAATTGGCCAGGGATAGGTCCCTGGTTGATCATTCCAATTTTTTTCAAATTGGTGAGTTACAAATCTGGAGCTAAGGGAACTTAAGCATACATTTTAATGTATGTATCTTGAAATCAATGGGGCCGAGAATAAAACTTAATGTTATCCAAAATTCAATATATATAGAGAAAAATACATATTGAGAAAGAGTAGTTGGGACTTCAAACTCACTTCAATATATATCCATTGTATAATTTAAGATATTGATGTTCATAATCAATGTTCATGGAAATTGTGTGCATGTTTTCATATTCTTTTAAAGGGAACTACTAGAAAAGAATATCTTTAATTTCTGGTTTGTTATTGACAAATAAACAGTGAAATTGAAATTGCTAACCATTTGTTTTTTTTAGGGTTGTTGCTGTTGATCAAAGAGGTTATGGAGAATCTGACAAGCCAAGTGGCATTATGAACTACACAACAGACAAGCTTAGTCAGGATCTCAAACAGCTTATTCCAGCTCTGGGTGAGAACTATAATAGAAAAAAAACATAATAATGACACAGAAGTAAATGTGAGTACAATAAAACTTGAGAAGGAGGAAAAAACCCAATTGACATACTTAAAGTCAATGAATCAGTGATAGATGAACTGCAGTAGAAAAGGTGCATTAAGTGATATATATATATATATATATAGGCTCCATAACTTGTGTCAGTTAGTCATTGGTTTTTCGCCAACTTGAGTTTCCTAATTTTTAGGTCACCTAAATCACTTTTGTGACCTATTACTATCTGTTTTTATCCATCATGCAACATGTGTTAACATTTGAGCATTTTTAGCTTCTTCTCTGGAACTGCAGAACCAATTTCAACCCATTTTGGCATATGGCATCTAAGTGGGTAAAGGGAAACAAAAATTGTGAAATTCATGCCCCAAGGGTCAAGGGTTCTGGAATAAAAGTGGGGCTTTATCCATCATATGGTGAAAAAGCATAATTTCTTTAAAAAGCATCTTCTCTCCCCCTGTATATTTAGCAGACAAACTAAGTGCATAGTTATGATGAACAAGGGCCCTCTTTCAAAATTGTGAATTTCATGGCCCTGGGTCAGAGGTTGAGGTGTAAGGGTGGGTCTCTTTTGATTGAATATTGAAAATGCATTACTTATTTGAAAAGCTTCTTCTCTGCTCCTGGGTACTGTACAGCAGGAAATTAACTCGCAGAGATAATATTTGCTATTTTTGCGGAAATAAAAATTCCGCGAATTCAACATACAGTGATTAATTCTTCAAAAATTGATAAGGATAAATTGAAATATTACCGATATTTGTGATTAGATTTGGTAACTCTATTTACAACATACGTGTCCTTGTAAACATAAAAAGCAGTAATTTATATAGCAGAGATATAGACTGTCTTCCTAATTAAGCGGGTGTACGGATCAATCACTAACACGTAGTTGTTGTTTTTTAAAAGCTTAATTGACAAATAAACATCTAAAACTAACATTTAATTCTGCCACCCAGTAGAGGTGCGATGTAATTATCTATAAAACATGTATTGTTAGAATTCACCCATGCATATCACTCACTCTTTTTATCTTTAATCAAGGCACTTACGTAGTAAAGACAACACTGTTACACATTAGTTCATTTTTATTAACAGTTCAACATTTTGACTATCGGTACTGAAAACTGATTTAGATTCAGAGGGATTAAAATGACCTGCAGTAAATACTACTCAGTACTCTACTCAAAACATACCTATTCATGAATGAACACCTGCCAAAGGGCTTCTTTTTTTTTTTTTTTTTACATGTTTGCCATTGTTTGGGATACGACTGGAAATCATTTAAATAAATCACTCGCATATAGACTCATATGTATTTCAAAAATATTTAACAAAAAGAAAGAAAGAAAACAAGAGAAAGAAAGAAGAAAATTTATATGAATGCATAACAGTGTAAATCGTGCAACATTTTGTCTCCCAATCGGGATCAGTACGGTGTTTCAATCTATTTAATCGGGTTCAGAATCGACACAATATGCAAGGAAAATACTTGTAGTGCGGAAAAAGTTTCTGTATAATTTTTCCTTTCCGCGGATTCAAAAGACCGCGATTTGCTGCAAGTTGAACAAATCGCGATCTTTTCCGACCGCGTTTTAACCTGCTGTACAGCATTATGCAAACAAGTGTATGGTTATGATGAGCATCTTTTCCAAAATTGTGAATTTTAGAGCAATAGGTCAGAGGTTGAGTTGTAATGTTGACTCTATTGATTATATAGTCAAAATACATTATTTCTTTGAAAATCTTAGTCTTAGCTATTGGGTATTATGAAAACAAACAGTGCATGGTTATGATGAGCAAGGGTAACTTTTGCAAGATTGTGAATTTCACTGCCCTGGGTCAGTGGTTGAATTGTAAGAATGGGGATCTTTTGATTATATAGTGAAACACATTATTTTTTTTAAAAATCGTCTTATCTGTTCTTGGGATTTGAGCAAACAAACTGGGTGCATTGTTATGATGAGCAAGGGCACCTCTTCCAAAATGTAGTTTCACAACCCTGGTTTAGTTCTTATGTTAGGATGTGGCTCTGTTGATTATATATAATGAAAATGCATAAATTCTTTAAACATGTTAAAAGGCTTCTTTTCACCCAAAGTATATTTAGCAGATAAACTAAATGAATGGTTATGATGAGCAAGGGTGCCTCTGCAAATTGTGAATTTCATGGTCCCTGACTCAGGGGTTCTGGTGATATGGTTGGATCTATTGATTATTGGTGTGAAAATGGATTAATTGTTTGAAAATCTTCTCTGCTCCTGGGCATTTAGGAGGGTAATGGAGTACAAAGTTGTAATCACCAAGGGTGTTTTTACCAGATATGTGAAGTTCTGGATCAGTGGGTTAAGTGTACTGGTTCTGGGCAGCTGGGCTCTATTGATCTTGTAGGGAAAATTGTACTGCACTGAGAGAAGTTATGCCCCTTTGCTATTCACCTATGATAATTAATCACTGTAAATACACATGTAAAGTAATTGATAGGTCAATTGAATTTCAAGGTTGTAACTTGTTTTATAAGTCCTTGCATGGAGAAGAAAACTCTGGAACATTTCAATGTAATTTATTAATGATGGTACTGATGATTCAGACAAAATAAACTTGATGAGGTATCAAATATGTGGTGATCTACAATCAAATATGAAAAATATGAAGTACCCTCCATTCATGCATTTAATATCTAGATGAAATTTAAATCAAATATTTAATTTATAGATTAATTTCCTGAAAATATAAAAACAAATTTGAATGCTACATATGAAGAGACAAAGAACAAGAAAGTCGAGTGAATACAGTTTTTCCCATTGCCACCAAATTTTGTGCATTTTAAATTTTTCTTTCTGTCAGTTAGCTCTATTGAATATATTGGATTTTGATTTTCGGCACTTTTAAGGGCTCTGTGAAAAACAGAATGATCACAAAAATGACCATTTCTGTTACACCATATTTTAAGGTACCGACCCATGAACACTTCAGATTTAATGAAATTGAATGCATAAAAGATATGTTGGAACTGAATATGCAGTATATTTATAGACAGAATTTTCATGTTTTAGTACTAGTATTTAAGAGTAGAAGGTGCCCTAATTTATGACCTTGCCTGTCCCTGAAGAGTTATCCACCTTTGCTTTTAATCGATAAAAATCAATCCTAAAAAATCTACCTGGTAAAAAAAAATCGTTTTCAATTGTTTTTTCTAGGGATGTCAATTTTGTCAATAATTCATATTCGAATATTCAATGAAAGTATTCGAATATATTCGAATATTCGATAAAATAAATAAAATCTGTTTTATTTTAAATATGCATCATCCTACTCTCGTAGGTATACTTATATAGGAAGTAAAATTGTATGAAGACTTTTGTAGGTGTAAAATAAGAAATTCCATTTGATATTTGTCAATGTTTGAAATAAATAATTGATTTAAATGTAGAAAAGTATAATTTTAACAAATGAAACGTGTATTTATAGTAGCCCCACCTGAGGGACCAGTCGTCTCACAAAAGGCAAGATAGCCGTAACGGTATACTGTTCAGATTTCAATACGTGTAATAAATTACAATTATCTGCTTGATAAGAGATATGATTATAATCTTTGATACAATGTAAACAAATATTTCCATAGACAATTTTTCCTAGGTAATTAATGTTTTCCCGATAATGAATATAAATTATGCACAACCCGAGATAATTAAGTAATTTACACATTTATTCTGAAATTAAGCCCTTTACAATATTAATTACAGATTAATTCTATCGGACATTCATTCAATGATCAATTAATTTTATTTTGATAAGTATACTGTTCGCGCCTTTTAGATATTCCTAGATTTCATTTGTTGTCCTCGATTCTAGATCCGATCGTATCTTTAACTAATAAAAGCTATGAAAGTACGTTTTGTATTATACATAAAGCATTATTGTACAATTCTTTACAACACCTTACTCAAAACAAAATACATGTAATTTAGAAGATTTATAAGATAAGAAAGTAGTGAAAGAAATCAGGCGATCGAAATTGATCGCTAGTTTATTAAACAGGGATAATTCCAGCACTGTTCTAATCAAAATTTATTAATCACAGTACTTCTTTTTATGAAATCTGAAAAACACCGAATATTCGAATCTTAAATTCATATTCGAATATCAACTCATCGAATGAATATTCGAACGTTCGAATATTCGTTGCCATCCCATTCCCTAGTTTTTTCTATTCCTAATGATTAAATACATCTTTCAACTACAGCATTTATTGATATTCTTAGTATTTAAATTTTTATTTTCAAAAATTTGCTTGCCCCCATAGACTTCAATGCAATCTTCATTGATTAATGCTTGTAGGTGATTACATTTTTGAAAATTTCTCTTGGTAAATCTTTTTCTACTTTAAAATGCTTTGAATTAAAATCAGATTATTTTATACATGATGAATATTTAAAGTTAACAAAATTAGGTCCCAATATGGGTTGGTTACCTTAAGACTAGTCCTCTCTGTACAAAGAAAAATGTACTCTTGGAACTCTTGGTCTGTAATTGCTAATTAGTGGGAGAGGTTAATGCATGGTCCTGTTTTATGCATTATTATTTTTCCTTTGTGTAGGCTACAGAGACTGTATATTGGTTGGGCATGATTGGGGTGGCGCAGTGGTCTTCAACTTTGCCAACAAGTATCCAGAGATGGTGAAGAAATTGATTGTGATGAATGCCCCACATGGTGCAGTAATGTTCAAGGAATTACAGACCAGTCGCAAGCAATTCCTCATGTCTTGGTAGGATTTCAGTTTCATCATAGGTTTTATTTCCATCCAAATTGCAAAGTAAAATTTAGTCAATGGATTGATGACGTCTTAAGTTTACCTCTTTTTTCGCAGAGTTGTGGAAAACTGCAGGTCATGCCGGCAAAACCGATTAAAAATGCATGTGACCGGTAAAAAAGCCACCATGTCAGTCCAAACGACTGACCCTTTTTTTGGTTAACTTTTGTTTTTCCTGTTATCATCGGCGCACTTTCCAGCTTAATTACCATAGAAAATTTAAAGTGCAATTGCGCAATATTTTTCTTTTTACGAGAAACCAGGTAAAAAACATAAAGTCAATCAATTTCTTCACCATCTTTGAAGACAAAGCTAAATAAAATATGAAAAATCTCAACAGAAAGAATTCAAACACAATTGGGGCAAGTAAATCTAGTACACCCAACTGTTCCTGATTTCGGTTTTTCATTGATCATGTTGATGTCTTCATTATCGATGCAAATTTCTCAGATACATTTTCTAGGATGATATAAATTCCCAATGCATAAATGTTTCCACAAAATTACATATACTATGCTGAATTAGCATTGTCACCTGCCCAAAAGAGGTAAATCTGTACTGTGTTATAAATGCAAAAACCAAAAACAGACAAAGACTATGAAGTAAAAAGATGTGTAATAAAGTAAATAAATTTTATGGACTTTTTTTTTGCAACTTAAGAATTCAGACTGGCTAAAATTACTTCGGACTGGCTTATTTTGTGTTCTTGCCAGTTCGAATGACTGGTTATTTCAAAAAGTTTTCCACAACTCTGTGTTCATGTATCCATCTTGGTCAATGATTTTATTTAGCTGTAGCATTTAGGTCTGTTGTGGGTGTCTTATTGGTAACATTCAAACAGACACAGGTAGTTTGAAGTAACACACACGGTTTCACACATGCTAATATCTTTGACTTAGATATTAGTAAATAAATATTGTATATTCCTGTTCAGTTTATTATCTTCTAACATCACACATACCATTATATAAATCAAGACAGTATCAGAATTGACCTTAAAGTTGGTCAATGAAGCAAGAGACCCATGGGCCACTACCCTCACCTGAGTAACTTTGGCCTTGTTGTTTTTCACCTGATTTCCACCCTTGTAGTACTTACTGTGGCCCGCCCTAAACCCAGGGGTCATGATTTGAACAATTTAGAATTGACACTACCCAAGGATACTTCCACTTAAGTTTCAGCTTTTCTGGCCCAGTGGTTCTTGAGAAGATTTTTAAAGATTTTTTTCGACATATTTCAATGTAAAACTTGGAGTCCCTACCCCTGGGGTCATGCCCTACCCCTGGGGTCATGATTTGAACAATTTAGAATCTACATTACCCCAGGATGCTTCCACATAAGTTTCAGCTTTTCTGGCCCAGCGGTTCTTGAGAAGAAGATTTTTTAATGACCCCACCCTAGGCCATCATTAAAAATATCTTTGTTTCCCCTAACCCGACCCTAAAATTTCAAGTTGGGTAGGTAGGTAGGTAAGTTATTTTTTTCTGACAGCAGTTTTGAAAATACATTCTGAAAAATTGAATAATATCTTTATAAATAAGAAAGAACAAAAGAAACCGATTGTTAAACCGAATATCATACAAATGAAATTTAAAAGTAACATGTATGGTTAATTAATTCACAAATATTATTCATTTGAACTTTTGAAATATCTCAGACCAGTGTAAATTTATTGAAATCGAATTTTTACAAAAAGACAAGATTCGCAAATACTCAACCATCGGCCATCCCAGTATATTTTTTCAAACCTATTATCATCTTCTAGTGCTTACACAGACAAAATGTCAAGGGCCTCGCGTGACGCAGTAATTCTATTGTTTCGTTTGGAGTAACAACGTAATTCAGGAGCTTATTGTAAGTCACAGGTCCCGACGTGGGACTTGGAGACTGGTCAGTCGATTGAGACCGTAAAAAATGTAGGTCCATGCAGTGTCGCAGTATACATGTAGATGTTGGCACGAAAAAGATCCCTTACTGATGCTTTATGATCAATGCCCATAAGTGCCGAGAAAAAGTCTAAATTAGGAGCCCTCCACCAGGCAGGTGTTCAAATGTTGTCAACCCAAAAATTTAAAAAGGTATTTTAAAGCAAAGAAACAACCTATTTTCAAGGACCTACCTAAAAAAAAAAATACAATGGACATCTCAGGAAGCCGAACCATAAGCCAATTTTAAAGATTTCAACACTATTGAAAAGAGTGTACCTGTATAAACTATTTAATTCGATTAAAGTTTCATATATCTAATGTTATAGTCACAAAGTTTACCCCATAAATAAAGGAAGGAAGAAACGACATCTGAATTATATTTGTAAAGATGAAATAATTATACAGAGACATACCGTATATACTCGTCTATAAGTCGGTCCGCCTATAAGTCGGTTGTATTTTTTAAGCTTATATTAGAGGAATTGACCCTCTAAAATACCAATCGTTTTATAACTCGCCTATAAGTTGGACTTAGAGTTTTGAACCCAAAGTTTAACTCCAAAAAAAACGACTTAAAGGAGAGTATATACGGTATTTACAACTCTTATGGTCCTATATAGTAAAAACAGAATCATAGATGAAGTGTTTATTAGATCGAAATGAATGAAATGCAGTGAAATTTATTGATATGCATAGACAAGGTGGGTCCCTCTTCTGCTCATGAGGCAGGATTTGCCATGCTTACTACGTCATAAATTTTTGAAAAAACATTTGTAACTACCATCTTAACACTCCTTAGTCATGGTATATTTACCGTAATTCACGAAATGTTTCAAGAGTGTAGGTTTCTAATAAGTTAAAGATACATATTAAGATTGATACATCGCCGTTGTTTTATAACAAGAACTAACCTTCTGTGGCCACATGTTAATTGTGGGCACAAAATGAGAGTAAAACATAAGCCGCCGTTTTAAAAAAAAACGGATTTGGATGAAATTGTATTTTATAAAGTTGATAAACAATTAAAAAAAATATTTGAATAATCTTATTAAAAAAACTTTTCAGTCGGCACAATTTAAGTGGGTCGGTTGCGTTAGGGGAAACAAAGGTATTTTTTATTTTGGCCCTTTTTTTGTCTTTTCTTGATTATCTCTCCTTGGAAGGGGGCTTGGCCCTTCATTTTAACAATTTAAACTCCCCTTCATCCAAGAATGCTTTGTACCAAGTTTGGTTAAAATTGGCCCAGTGGTTCTTGAGAAGAAGCTGAAAATGTGAAAAGTTCACAGAGGGACGGACGGATGGATGGACGATGGACAATGGGTGATCAGAAAAGCTCACTTGAGCTTTCAGCTCAGGTGAGCTAAAAGCAAAGAAGAAGCTGATAACAACTCAGGATATCAAATGAATGGAACAATTTGTTATATTTTGAATTCCTTATTATTTTGAGTTCTGAGTATTTTAAGTTCTCCTGTACTCAGTATTGGAATACATGTATTAATATTCAAATAAATTCCTTATACATGTATCCATTACCTGTTTCACTATTTAATATCTTATACTATAAATTCGACTTCTTCAATGGGGCCATATGCCACTACGAACTTTACACTAGATAGTGTTTGACTTCCTAATGCATGTTTGGTCAATTTCTTTCAAGATACTATTTCATTAAAAATATTTTATAATTACAAAAAAAATTGTGGCCAGATCATAAATGTCAGATGTGTTAATGAGCCACATAAAATGTGGCTCATTTCATGAGCCACATGAAATGGTTCATGTTTGAGCCAAAGCAATCTATTTAATTTGAAATTTGATGAATTTTTGTATGGAGAGAAATTAACTTTCAGTCCAATAGACTGTCTCCTTATAATTTCAGGTACATGTTTTTCTTTCAAATGCCATTTTTGCCTGAGTTTATGTTGAGCCATGGTCACTGTAGTTCATTAGATATGATGTTTCGAGGAAAGGACAAGAAAAGGATCAAAAACTGTACTGAAGAAGACATAGAGGCATACAAGTACAATTTTGCCAAGAAAGGTGCACACTTTCATAATAACTCTGATAATAGAAATTTGATTTTTTACATTGACATATGTATGTGAAATTGTGAATATATATATATATATATAAAAGTCTTCTCAGTCATCATATTTCAGGGCTACAATAAGACAAATTAATACACAAGCATCTCCATGTGTACAACCACTGTTTTGTTCAAATTAAAGCTGAACATGATTCGTAAAAGGAATTTGCAATATTCTTTTATTCAGTTGTTTTGTCTGAGGGACCGTCATGGAAGCTCAGTCGGTAGATTGCTCACTCTGTGATCAGAAGGTCTGTGTTCGAATCACAGCCATGACTGACCTAAGTCAATAAAAATAGGTTGCAACTGTTCTTTTGCCAAGCACTTGGCACTTTGGAGTGAAAGTTGTGGGTCCTTAAAAACTGAGGCCCTGTGTCATGGTAGGCGTTGGCACGATAAAGAACCCTCACTGCTCAATGGCCCTGAGTGCTGAGTAAAGGTCTAAATTTGTAGCTCTTCACTGGTATACGGTGACGTCTGTAACTGAAAAATTCTCGAATGGGACGTAAAACAACACACAATAAATCAGTCAATCATATGTCTGAGGGCCCCTTTATAAGCCGTTCACTTAGTCACTATTTAGTGTAATCAGTTTTCACCTGTGTAGATGGATGTATGCTACATAGCTCTTGCAAAATACTGGGTAGCAACATAAGTAACTGTGTGCTTCTTTCACGGCAGGAGAGAGAAATACCAAAGAAACTTACAACAGTTGCACAGGTCAGTGCAAATACATGTAAATTGCAATAAAATGTAAACAAAGGGAATGTAAGGTAACTAGCACGAACATGTGTCATCCATTCACTCAGGTATGTACCCATGACAAGAAAGCAGTCAGGTTCATAACAAATGTGAAGGATATATACCCCAGTGCTGATATCAGAGAAAGTAAAACTAATATGGCATATGCCTATTTTATGAGTCGTGTTCAGCTTTAAGGAGTAGGGTATGGCCACAAGTTTAACTTCAGAATACATAAGAAAAATCTTTAAAAGTCATCTTAGTGAGTGATACACTAATATACTTAATTTGATGAGCATATACAGGGTTTTTCATTTATTTACATGTACATATTTATTAGTCAGAGGGGAATGCACCATGGGCATCTTGTTTGTTCTCAGTGGTGAACTGCAGCTCATTATCTTGTTTTGTAGACTGCATTTATGTAAATTTACTTCTATGGAATGTCCTTGGTAAATAAATTTTTAAATAAATGGATAAAGAATTTGTCTTTCAAATGTGTACTTCTTTTTACCATCAGTGAATGTTGACTTGAAGTTAATAGTATATGCAAATGGGCATTTGTGGCACTACATAACCCCAGTAAAATGTAATTGTAGGAAATGGCTTCACTGGTCCATTGAACTACTACAGAGCAGCCATGAGGAAACCTTTTGACAAAAGCGTCTTCAATCCGATAGAAGTCCCAACACTTATTATCTGGGGGGTGGAGGACATTGCCTTGAACCGTAGGCTGCCAGAGCTTGGTAGGCAGTATATTAAAGACTGCACCATTAAATATATTGATGAAGCCAGCCACTGGGTACAGATGGACGGTTATGAGGAGGCCAATAAGTACATCTGGGAGTTTGTTAAGGCTTAGAAATTTCTTTTTTTGCCATTATGCTGAGGTATGTGTGTAGGTTTTTTTTTTACCCCCACACCAACCGTAAGTAAACAACATGTTAATAAAATATATACAAATGTGTATTGTTCTAGAATTATTTAATATATGTGAATGTGATTAGAATTGGAATTATCATTAATTAGGAAAAATTAACATGGCATTTTGTACTTGTACATTGTAAGAAAACTTCTAAAGTTTGGTGCTACAATATTTCATCTACACTTTATCCTTTGAAAGGTGTTAGGCCAGTTGGGGTTTAATGTGACATGGGGTGGTCTATGACAAGGATGTATGAGGAAGACCTAGCTGCATGGCTTACGTACTTCTTTGATTTCATTTAGATGCATCTGTGATTGATGCTTGCATAATTAATTTAATTATCTACTCAATTCTTTTAAAAATGAGTTTCTGAAAAAGAAATATTGAAACCTTACTAAGTCCATCCTTTTAAATAAATAAAAAGAACATTTAGCACTATAGTTTATGATAATTTCAATATTCTGGTAAATGAAAGTTTGGATGATGTTAAATTTATTGGGCTTTGCTAGTTTATAATTTGAGAAGCTTTTAGAAGAGTATTCTGAATTTATGTACATGTAAGTCATTACACTGTAGCAAGAGTTGCAAGGTTCAATATTAGTAAAATATTCACAAATAAACGTGTAGCCAGGGTAGTATGAATTATATAAAATTGTTCTTGTCTTATATAAAAAATGAAGACAAATTTTTCTATGCATTTAGTCTTCCTGTTGTTTTTCTTAATAAATTTACTTTTTGGAATAATTTTATGCAATATTAAATCAAGGCATAAACATATGTGTGTAAACGAAGTTTTTCTGCAGAAACTAGGAATTTTTAATAATTGTATATGTAATGATACATTCATGTATAATTTTTTAAGTCACTTTCTGTTTTAAAGTATAGACATATATGCATGTAGCCAACAGAAAAATATCGTTTTCTTTTAATGTTACATGTATCCATGTTTATAAACATATAAAATGTTGTTATTAAATATTTTTATAAGTATATACATCGTACATTGTTGTTTTAGATTTTTTAGATCGATTTTACTTAGAAATGTTAGAATTCTTTGGGGAAAGGCAGGAGACCTGAATATATTATTTGTAGAAGTATTTATCAAATATATTGCACAATCACATTTTATCAGCCTTTCTTGTTTGTTACTCTTTAGTTGAACAAATTTCCAGGGATGTAGCAAATGTTACAATTTTTAGGTCACCTGAGTCACTCAGGTGACCTATTGCTATCTGTTTTCGTCCATCGTCGTGCGTCGTGTGTTAACATTTGAACATTTTCAGCTTCTTCTCTGAAACCGCTGAACCAATTTCAACCAATTTTAGCAGATGGCATTTATGTGTGAAGGGGAACAAAATTTGTGAATATCATGGTCCCTGCCCCCCTGGGGCCTGAGGGGTGGGGCTAAAACCACCAAAATTAATGCAATCTTTAAAAATCTTCTTCTTTACTCCTGGACATCAAGCAGTCAAACTGTTGGCATGATTGTAATAAGCATTGAGCCCTCTACCAAAATTGTGAAATTCATGGCCCCAGGGTCAGGGGTTCTGGTGCTAGGGTGGGGCTACATAGATCATATAGTGAAAGTGCATTATTTCTTTGAAAATCTTCTTCTCTACTCCTTGGTATTATTTAAACAAATTAAATACATAATTATGTTAAGCAAGAGTGACTCTACCGAAATTGTGAAATTCATGGCCCCAGGGTAAGGGTTTCTGGTGCTGGGGGGGGGGGGGGGGGGGCTATATAGATCATATAGTGAAAGTGCATTATTTCTTTGAAAATCTTCTTCTCTACTCCTGGGTATTATTGAATCAAATTGAATACATAGTTATGATAAGCAAGGGTGACTCTACCAAAATTGTGAAATTCATGGCCCCAGGGTCAGGGGTTCTGGTGCTAGGGCGGAGCTATATAGATCATATACATGTAGTGAAAGTGCATTATTTCTTTGAAAATCTTCTTCTCCACTCCTGGGTATTGTTGAAACAAATTAAATACATAGTTATGATGAGCAAGGGTGACTCTACCAAAATTGTGAAATTCATGGCCCCAGGGTTAGGGGTTCTGGTGCTAGGGCGGGGCTATATAGATCATATAGTGAAAGTGCATTATTTCTTTGAAAATCTTCTTCTCTTCTCCTGGGTATAGTTGAAACTAATTAAATACATAGTTATGATATTTGGAAGGGTGAATCTTCCAAAATAGTGATTTTCATGACCCTTGGATCAGGGGTTCTGATGTTAGGGCCTGGGCTCTATTTATTATATAGTGAAAATGCATTAATCTTTAAAAATCTTCTTCTCTGCTCCTGGGTATTTTTGAAACAAACTAAGTACATTGTTTTGATAAGCAATGATGCCTCTTCCAAAATTGAGAAATTCATGGCCCCAGGGACAGGGGTTCTGGTTCTAGGGTGGGGCTATTATAGATCCTTTAGTGAAGGTGAATTTTTTCTTTAAAAATCTTCTTCTCTGCCCCTGGGTACTATTTAAACAAACTAAATACATTGTTATGATACACAAGGATGCCTCTTCCAAAATTGTGAATTTCATGGCCCCAGGGTCAAGGGTTCTAGTGAAAAGGTTTGGGGGGGGGGGCTCTATTGATTATATAGTGAAAAAGCACAATTTCTTTGAAAATATTCTTTTCTGCTTCTGGTTAAAAAGCAAAGAAGCTAAGTATATAGTTATGATGAGCAAGAGTGCTTCTTCCAGAGTAGTGAATTGCATGACCGGGGTCAGATGTGCTGGTGTAAGGGTGGGGCTCTTGATAATATAGTGAAAATGCATTAATTCTATTAAATAATCCTGTCTGCTCCTTTGTGTTAAGCAGATAAACAAAGTGATTACTTATGATGAGCAAACTTCTGGTCCCAGGGTGAGAGACTCTAGTGTTTCTTGGTGGAGGGGGGGGGGGGGGGGGGGCTCTATTGATAATATAGTGAATCTGAAGTAAAAATGCATTATTTCTTTAAAAATTTTCTCTGCACTTGGGCATATCAGAGGCAAAAAGATTAAAAGTTTTAATAAGGAAGGGTATTTTTACCAGATTTTTGAACATCTAGACCATTTGTTCAAGTGTTCTGGTCCTGGCCAGAGCTCTATTAATTTGTATTCTCCAGAGAGGAGTTATTACCCTTTGCCATTTACTTTTGATAATTAATCACTGTAAACAATGTACTTGAAAGGTTAATAGAATAAGAGAATTAAGCAAGAATTTTTATTGTATAATACAAAAAGTATTTTCATAGTTTTAATGATCAGATAGACTTGTAAGTAATAGATAAATAAAAATGGAACAAAAATAACTTGTCTTATTAAATGTTCATCAAAGACCAAGAGAGGCCAATGTAAGAGATTTCAACAAGAAATTAAAATAGTACAGAAGCACTGATAGTTTTTTAATACACTGTATAGTGATAGTGATAAATGGGGAACAGATTAGAACCTAATTCATAAACTATCAATGAATACTAGATTAATTATTTTGTTGATCCTGATCACCCTAGTATTTTTCTTGCTTTTGGGCAACAAAGCTTCACCTTTCAGTTCATTTTATACTCTATGGATCCTCTAAATTGTTGTATTATACTCAGGTGACCGTTAAGGCCCTTGGGCCTCTTGTTTAACATGCAGTGTACATTAAGTGGTCCTTTTTATTTCCCTGAACTTTTGCAGATTTTTTTCTTTTACAAAGCAGATACATGTACTTGGTGATTAAATATACAATGTTTTGTACAATATTGTAGTTAAAAGCACTATCATAGAAACTGTGATAAAAATAAAATGCACTTTGGTTAATTTTTGTACAATAGACTTCTTAAAATTCTTATTACCAATAGACCAGAATTCAGAAAAAGTGTTGTGCCTATATCTAGCTACCAAAGATTCATATCTACCATTTTGTTTATAATCCATGTAAACTAGTCAGTCAGTATGAGAAACCAGAAAACATAAACCTTCAGAGGTTTATAGAAACCTTGCTGGAGATTTATCAACATTTTAATAACAAAATTGCTGTTTGTTTTTAATGTTTATTGCATTACTTTGATGACAATTTCTTTGAATATAAAACAAAATTCTGTGTTGATTTTACATGATTTTTCACATATTTAAATAAATGTGCTGAAGCATTGGTGTGTATTTGTTATTGCTGAAAATGTAATAGCAGAATTGGAAACAATTGCAGTTGTATTATTTTACTTCTCAACTTAACACTCATATTCAATGAAAAGTTCAACACATTGTTCATAAATTGTCTCAATCTCTGCGTATTCAATCTACACTTACATCTGGCACAGTTTAACAACACGTCTTTAAAACAAAGTTTTTGAATGTTTTACAAAATGTAATTACCTTCCAAGATCCTGTAATGGAGAGAAAAAAATTAAATTGCATAAGATTTCTTTTTTTACACAAATAAAAGGTTATTGATATAAAAAATCCCATTCATGAGAGCATATATTTATACTAAATCTATAAAAAAAAACAAAAAAAAAAACAACAAAAAACAAGATGTGTTTATGAAGCACTGATGCCCCCAGATGGCAACTCGTGGCAAAGGTTCAAGTAGTTTCTTAAAATGGAAATCAAACTCCAAGGTCAAGAGATGAATAAGGAGAATTAAGCGCAGATTTGATTAATTTGAATTAATTTACTGCACATGAAATTGCTTTCCATTAACTCTGTGTGAACGCTAAGCAAAACTAATTCGAATTAAATTTTGATGCATGTGTAATGGCAAAATTAAGTAAATTAAAGGCCACATGGTGGTGGTCGGATAAGCACTTATTTTTGAGTGAAAAAAACAAAGAAAAATTAAGTTTATCCACAGACCCCACAAATGGCCATAACATTAGCTCTTTAAGCCTTTGGCTCAGAAGAGCTAAAAATGTGTAAAGACTATGACATGTCAAATGTATATCTGCTCTGCATAAGGTGATGCAATTTGCAAAGGACATCATAAAAGCCTTCTGATAGAAATAAATTTTACATCATAAAAGCCTTCTGATAGAAATAAATTTTACATCATAAAAGCCTTCCATTAGAAATAATTTTAATGCACATAAACTTCCTGTACATTAACTGTCATGTGAATGCAAAAATTTGTATGATTTTTATTTCACAATAATCTACATATTATTTAATGCACATTTGTGAGAACAGGGCAGAATATTTATTTAAAATGTACATGTATTTTGTATTGAATGTGAAATATGTTGTAAATCAAGTTAGACTGCCTTGTGCTCTTTTGCTTTAACTGCCCTGTGAACATAACAGTGTGCCCCATGGTTTGCCTGGGACAAATAAACTGCACTTATAATTTCTATTTATAATTTTATATACATGTATTTAAAATTGTTCTAAACTGGCTGTCATTGTCAAGATGGCTGTTCTTTTGAATTTGGAATTTGTGAAGATCCTAAAGTCCCATCTTGTTCTAGCTTCTTTAAGTACTTCTTTTTTAAAGTCTTATTCCAGAGTCCATTTTCTATTTTGAATACTTTGCTGTCATGCTTGCAGGCTCCATGTTGAATTTGGAAATCACAAAGAGCTTCCAGAGGACGTGTCAAAATCTAAAAAAATATACCATCCAAATATCAATCGGTACGTGTTCTCACTAAAAATGCATTATTACATGTATTTATTCTAACTGAGCTTTTGAAAAAGCTCCAAAAATTAACAAGCACAAATTATTTACATCCGGTGGGACATAAAAATTATGTACTTTAATGTTTACTACATTTATGTGTGTAATTATTAGGGATGGCAATTTGTAACCGGTTTACCCATTACTCGGTTGGAACGATGGTAATCGGTTAGAAAATCTGTAATTAGTTAGTTGAAAAAATAAAGTATATGCAAGTTTTAATGCAATTTTCTTAAAATTCATTTCTAAGAAAGAAACCACGGCATAAAAGTTGATAATTTAGCTTTTTTCTCATATCTATTTAAACTTCTTTGGGATAATTAATGGCTCTCCCAATTGAGATCGTTGGGTAATTGGTCAGTTTTTGAAGTGTTAATGTTTTTATAAACACCATGCCATTACCCCGACTGTCCTGTAATATTTTTATTAAATAAATCATCGTTGAGCAATGTGAATTGGTATGTCTATCTTTAGGCAGTATCTATTAAATTATATTATTAGACAAACTTATAAATTAAGAGAAAGTTCAGAAATAGTTTTGATAATGCAGAATAAATTTGTGTGACATTTGCTCTGGAAAATTATCAATGTTTGATTTTACAGGAAGGCATGTTTATGTTTTTCTTAATTTTTTCTTGTATATTGAAACAGAAAAACAATGTATATACACGTAGTTTCCTCATCAAGTTAAACAGAATGTTTCCAGCTTTTAACATTTTTTTTTAATCTTCCTGTGTATAAGAATAGTACTTGAAAAAAAAAAATGTCCAAAAATGTGTATTTTGATACGATTAATGGTCGGAACGTCTTGCGGTGAACCGATTAGCAATTCTGTATTTGATTTCCATCCCTAATAATTATATCATTTAAATCCTGTAAATATATTTCTTTTAATAATACATGTAATTTTATTTACTGCTTTTCATTTCTAAAGACTTCAATTTAATATTTAGCACGTGTACATGTACACTGCATACTGTGACAATCACTTGTATACCCTACAGTATAGCGAAGCTATCCTATAATTTTTTTGACAAAGTTCAACCAATGAGAATACTCGTAAGTGGCTCATTCCCAGGAGAGCTGTCCACTGTGTGGCACTGACTGTTTTGACCACCCCAGGAAGGGGATCCAATGATAAAGGCTCCTTTTGTCTGTGAACCATTACTTACAGCCAGGTGAATTTTTGATTGAAAAGTGCAATAATTTCCATAATTTAATTTAGGGTGGCAGCATGTGTAAAATATTGTAATTTTTTTTCTATATGAACCTCCTGTGCTAACTCCCATTTTTGCTCTTTACAAAAGATTTTCTACATCTTGACTTATTTGTCTTGTACTGGTTTTTCTGTGATCGATCAACACTGAAAAGTGAATAGAATCATCTACATTGTGGTTAAAATATTACATAGTGCTCCACTGAGTCTACTTATCTTGCATGGACAAAAAAACCATGCACCAAAAACAAAAATTAATGGTAAAGAGACTTGTAGATTTAAACATACATTGACAATATCCGGCTTTCTTTCCAGTGCTGCTAACGCTATGGCTGTTGATTCCAGTGTGGATAGTGACATGTCATTTGGTTGAGTACGAATCACAAACTTACTCTTGCAGCTATGATTCAATTTTATCTGCAAAAAAAAAAAAAAAAAAGAAAAAAAAAAAATTAATTAATTTATACAAATCTGGAATACACTTTATAATTATGTTTACTTAAAGAAATCAAGACCAATCTTCCTGGTATATCTGAGTTCACAGAATATAAAGTGAGAAGTTAATAAATGAAGAAATTACTCTCAATAGATAGTGCAAGTCAATAAACAATCTTGACACTGACTTAAACCGCCAAAGTTTCTCCAAGTTTTTGTTTAAATATATGTTTACAATTTTCAATCTTGATTGCTATCACAGCCTATGCCACTCACTGTGTTATAAAAACACATCAATACAAGCAAAAGATTCAAATATAACCATTTGTGGTTCTCCCAATATCATGATTAATGGTGAATTACAGTGAGTGCCTTTAATTGTATACATGAATATACCCTTAATTACACATATCAAGCCATGATTTGAACAAACTTGGATCTGCACTACCTGAGGATGCTTGCATTATAATATTACTGATCATGGCCCTGCATGCATGTTCCTCTTGAAAAGAAGAATTTTTTTTCCCTACATACATGTATTCCCATGCAAAAGTTTAATCTCATATTGGTGTCCCACCCTACTCCCAGGGCCATGATTTGAACAAACTTGAATCTGTATTACCTGAGGATGCTTTCATATTAATATCACTAACCATGGTCCTGCTGTTTGTTCTTCAAAAGATTAAATATTTTTCCTATTTTACACCCATGTTTAACTTTGATCTTCTATACATGTACGTGGCCCCATCCTAACCCTGCAGGGGTCATGATTTGATCGAACTTCTATCTGCACTACCTGGGGATGCTTTTAATTCAATATTAATGAACATGGCCCTGTTTTTCATGAAAAGAAAATTGTTAAACATTTTTTTCCTATATATTTCCATGTAAAAGTTCAATTCCCTATTTTGCCCCCCCCCCCCCCCCCCCCCCCCCCCGGGTGATGATCTGAACTGAACAAACATGTGTCTTCACTTACTTTGGGAGGATTGCTTCTTAATATTTTTAATCATAGCCCTCCTGTTTATAAGAAGATTTTAAAAGATTTTTTCCAATGTATTTCCATGCAAACTTTTATCCCTTATTGTGGCCCCATCTTACAACCCTTGGCCATGATCCACCTTGGATCCACACTATGCAAGGAAGAAATTATATAAGTTTCACTTTTTTCTGGCCTAGTGGTTCATGAAAAAAAAATTTAAATGACCCCACCAAATTTTCATGATTATCTTCCCATAAGAAAAAAAGTATGGCGTTTCAGATGAACCAAGGATATTACTTTGTGGCAAATTTGGTTGAAATTTGCCCAGTGGTTCTGGAGAAGAAGATAAAATTATGGAAAGTTTACAATTACAATGACAACAACAACAACAGACAATGAACAAATTATAACAAACTAACAAACTAATTACCGGGGGGGGGGGGGTAAAATAGGGAATTGAACTTTTACATGGAAATACAGGTGACTCTCGATGCCTCGAACTCCGATCTCTCGAAGTTCTCGATCTCTCGAAGTGAACCTCCGGTCCCGTTTTTTTCTTCTATATAACTAAGCAAATTTACTTCCTATCTCTCGAACTTTCGATCTCTCGAAGTTCTCTATCTCTCGAACAAAGACCTGGGTCCCGTTACACACATTTCATTGTTTTTCACTCTCTATCTCTCGAAGTTTTGATTGCGCGTGTGCACACGCCGATCAAACGTAAAATGCAGCTTAGACTTACCTGGATAACAGTGAACGCCTCGGGCTGGCATGGTGTTAATTGGGTGTTTACATAGATGACACTATACCTGAGAGCATCCGAGTGTTGATATAATTAATTGGTTACAATCGGTAAACTATTAACGAATTGCTTAACAACTTATTTTGACTTGACAGCGAGACGTAATTTTTAGAAAATAATTTAAAAGACGTGTAAATAATTTTTCATAGATTATGAAGTTTTATTAGAGTTTACATATTCCCAGTATGACAAACACTGCACAAGAAATCCTATCTGAAGAATTGAATACCTATTTAATACGAGAAATCTGGTGAAGGACCCGATGAAGCCCTGGGGGTAGCCACGCCGACGATTGCTATTCAGGATTCATGTAGTTATGAAATGAGAACAAATAAATACAGAAACTTAAAGAGATCGTTTTATTTATTCAAAATACGATCATTGTTGTTGAAATCAAGTGAATTACCTGTAAAATACGAATGAAAACGTGCAATGACATTATCGACATTTACTTCCGGTATTTATAATAGTAGAACAATGATGAACAATGATGATCGGAAATGAAAATTCCTGATTTTTTTCACTTTCTGTCTCTCGAACCCCTCGATCTCTCGAACTTTTCTTGCGGTCCCTTGAACTTCGAGAGATCGAGAGTCACCTGTATATAGGAAAAAAATGTTTAATTTCCTTTTCATGAAAAACAGGGCCAATCAGAAAAAAAATGTTTAACAATTTTCTTTTCATGAAAAACAGGGCCAATCAGAAAAGCTCACTTGAGCCTTTAACTCAGGTGAGGTAATGAAAGAAATCAGATGAATCCAAGGACTTTACCTTTTTTGGCCAAGAAAACACCTCGTTATGTAGAAACATGCCTTTGGCCTGCCCCCAGGTACCATCTAAGAGGACAAGATTGTATGGCTGACCATCTGGTGCTGGGGGAATAGCTTCAATATCAGCTGCCTCAGAGTCTGGGAACAACAGAAGGGTGTTGGAACTCCTAAGAATTTCAGCTACTTTTGGGTATCTGAAGCAAATTTGTATCAATGTTGATTAAACTTTAAAAAATTACAGTCATGACTTAAAAGATCTGAATATTATAAAATCTATCCCATCAAACAGTACCTCTACAATAATTTAAAGAGATCCGGCAGTCCTGAACTTATACTGAAAAAGAGACTGGTTTTTCATATCAAGACCTTTTGGAAATCTTGAAGAGAGCTGTAGTTCCTCCATGTTTAAGCCATCACGATAAATCATTTACACAATATGAAGATCTGAATACAGAATATCTTTTACAAGAAGGCAATTTTTAGTAAATTTACTCTCAAAATATTCATTCCATTAGCTTACCTCCGAGGTGAGAATTTTTTTCCTTTGATAATTTGAACTTTTTCTGATGGTAAACATTCACATAAAATTGGAACAGTAGCCAAGTTTCTGCTTTCCTATAAGAGGTAAAAAGTTGTACACTTATATGTATAAATTCACTATTCAAACTCAGAAAAAATTGTTTGCAACAAGTTTCTTTCTAAAAACTTATCATCCTCAAAAACATAATGATAATTTTAGTTTCCCGAAATAATCATTTAAAACTTTCATTACAGTTTGATTTCTTTAAAAAGAGATACACAAACTAACCTCAAGAGGATGTTGTAGGATAAAGACATTGGTTTCTATAGATACCGGACTCTCGGGTAAATAGGGACACAAACATACAGCAACTGGACGACTAGGAGAAAAACAAAAGAACAGAAAACAAAATTAGATAAACACTAAATAAGTATTTACGCATACAAGTATAAATAATAATAACAATTTTATAAAAAAAGGATAACTAATCAAGAGGCCCATGGACCACAATGCTCACCTGAGCAACTATGGCCCTTCTTCTTTTTCATCAGCAGATTTTTTGCTATATCTTTCCATGTAAACTTTGATCACCCATTGTAGCGTTTAGAAATTAAACACATTTTACTGTAAAGTGCAGAGTTATCTTCCCGGAAATGACACACATATAATTGAACGTTAATTTGAGCGGCTACCTAAACAAAGAAAACACAGCAAGCTAAGGTGATGTATCAATGAGAGTTATAACAACCCAATTCAAGGGATAACCATGACGAAATAGTGAAATACGTGAAAGGGCATCTTGTTACTGCAATACATTAAAGGTTTGTTTTCTTCTTCTTTGCATTAATTAACCATGATGAGTAACGTAAATAAAGTGGAGATAGGACTTGGGATATCTTGAATTCGTTCATAGACTTGCAGGAGAGGAAATAATATTAAATGTCATTAAAAATCTATATTTATATCAGTGTAGTTTCACTAAAATTTGAACAATTTTGTTTTTCTAAGTAATGTAAAATATCAGTGATAGTGTACTTTTTTCTAAAATCTGGCTTTCTTTCCTACAGGCACCGTACGTAGTCCAGATCGAACTCAAAATACCTGGTGTCATCTTCAAGTGCAATGCTGTTGTTCCATAATCAACACTTTGAAACTTCATTTGTTGAAGACTACTGTGTTAATTCGACAGTGTTTACAATTTTATTCTTGTGCATTCGAAATGAGTTACTTTCTGGCAGTTATTGAAGGGATATAGATTATAATATGTGGTGCTTTGGGACTTGCTGAAAGTTCATAAAATTTGATATTTTGTGATTGACATGAGGAAAACTCTACAGCCGATTCAAATTATAATGATTATAATAAATATATATATAAATATACATTTTGTATTTTTAGTTTAACAATTCTTTAATAAAGCCTTTTAGAAATATTCAATGAAGTTTTGATATTAAATTGTCAGCTTAATATTATTTTCTTCATGATTTTGAAGATTAAAAGTTTATCTATGTGTACGTTATAAATTTGTCATTCTGATTGAATTGTTGAGACTAATCAAATCTATTCAGTTCTATCTCCTACATTTTTTGCGTAAATTAAGTACATGTACATCGCACAGTGTCCATTGCATTGTATAATTAAATACATATCCCAGCGTTCAGTGGCTTTATGGAAAATAATTAATATTGGTTACATATTTTGAAAATTTTGACAATTATGCGTATTTAAAAAACATACTTGTTGTGCCTAAATTTACGAGAGTGTTTTTTTTTCTGCAGGTACAAATTAAACTTATGATGTGTTTAGATATTAAACACATCTGCTGTTATGTGTTTAGAATTTAAACACTTGTGTTCATGTGTTTAGATATGTTTAATTTCTAAGCACACAAGTGTTTAAATTCTAAACACTTTCTAATACATGTTTAGGAATTTTACATGTTTAGAAATTAAATATATAAAAAAGGAGGTGACAAGAAAGTGTTTAGAAAAGTGTTTGAATTGTAAACACATTTTTTACAGTGTAGCTGAGGATGCTTCCAAATAAATATGACTGTACATGGCTTTGTTGTTCTTCACTTAGAGAAGAAGATTTTTTCCTATATATATCCATGTAAAAATTTGTTAACACATAGTGGCCTCACCCTACCATGATCATGATTTGAATAAACTTGAAAACACTATGTCAGGAGGCTTTCCCGAAAGTTTCATCTTTTCTGGCCCAGAGAAGTTCTTGAGAAGAAATGGGGCACCCAATTTTTACTATTTCTTAATTATCTCCCCTTGGAAGAGGGTGTGGCCCTTCACTTGAACAAACTTGAATCCCCTTTACCCAAGGATACTCTGTGTTAAGTTTTGTTGAAATTGGCCCAGTGGTCCTGGAGAAGAAGATGAAATTGTAAAAAGTTTACGACAATAACAACAACAACAAACAACGGACAAATTTAGAGCAGAAAAGCTGACTTAAGCCTTACAAAGGTACAGAGGTCAATAAATATTATCTCATCTTTCAATATTTTTCACAATAAATGTCTTAATTATTTGATTGACAATTTCAAAGCAAAATTCAAAAAGAAGAACTAGATCTAGTAAGCTTAGTTTTTTTTCTTCCCAAGGTGATTAAAAAAGTAAAAAAAACCCCAACTTTTTATTATTATGGCATTCAGAATTGGAACTCTCTTCCTGATAAGATAAATTCTACCGAAAATACGTCCAGCCTCAAAATGTAGTTTAAAAAAATTATTTAAAATGAGATCATATATATATATATATAAATATCTGAAAATGAGATTTCTCACTATTAGTCTTTTAAAATAAATATCTTGTCTTAATTCATTATTCAGTTATATTAATTTCGTTGTAATTATATCCAAAACACTACTGCCTGTAACTAGCTAATAAATATAGTCTTGTTTCTGGTCACCCTAGTGAGCCTACATTTTGACAGATATATTCAGCCCCCCCCCCCCCCCATCCCCTAATTTTTTTTGAAATCTGTGTCTACATGAGGGAAGAATTGTCATCAGATACAGATTAATTTTTTCACTAAAGGTACATGTTGATAAGAATTTGGCTGAAGAATCACGCACTGCTTCTAGGTTGGTGAAGAAAATTGCCTAGAATTGAAGAAAAATCCCATTATCAAAATTGGGTTAGCTAATTTCCTATTTTAATATATGTTTTTAAGACTATTATATATCATCACAGGCCCTAAATTTGTCACGGTCCTAAAATCATGTCCTTTTTATTTTCTCGAGTATCTCTCAAGATTGTGCCCGCTGCTGCACCATACATCGTTAGAAAATATTATTTGATTGCCTTTGTCATATTTTACAACTGCAGACGATTACTACAACAGGTAAAAAAAAATAGTCTGCAACAAAATTTCACCTTACTTAGCATAAATCAGCTATTACCGCATACGTTTAAAAAGAGAGTTTTCAATATTTTTTTCTTCCGACCTATCTCAAGTGTATTGGTGCTACTATACACATTGTTTACATTATGTCAAAAGAAGTCACAAATCCAAATTGGAATATTTGGCCTTTATTGTTTATATATGCCATATCCACTGAGGTCACAACCCTAGGACCTGTTATTTAAAATGGCGCCAGGTAAACATCGATACTTTGAACGAGATGTAAACAATCAATAAAGGCATGATTTTTCTAAACTATTAGTTTAATTGAAAGAAAAAGTATAACTATGGTATGACTTACGAAATGAAACAGTACCGGTATTTCAAATTTATTTACAAAACAGACACAATCAAATTAGGGTAAATGGGTAATGACTCATGGACCTCTGAGGATATGTATTAGGAAGTCAAGCCCTGCAATGTAATCAGGTCTGGCACAATCTCTTGATTTAGCTATATAGCTTTATTAAGCTATTCAGAATAGCTTGATTTAGCTATTTTATCATGCTTTTTTTAAAAATGTGTTATATTTTCAGCATGTACAAAAAGTCGCACCTTGGTGCAGTGATATTATTCAGTCTTGAACTTTTCTGAAAACAATGCATATAAAAATCACTCATCAAATAATTAATTGCGTCTCCTTGAGAGACTTTGTACTCAAAGTTCTATAACTTTTGGGGCTATAAAAAGCAATTAATTTGTGACCATACAGCTACTTCTTGAACGAAATTATAAAGGAGCTCAAATATGGTCAACAAGATAACTGATTGGTAGTTCAGCACATTACAGCGAATTACAAAATACCAGTAAAGTTTTCAATAGCTTGCTGGATATCTCAATAGGGTATACAATTTGGTCTAACAAGTATCACATTAGGTTTGAATCTAGGTCATGAAGTTACTCAGGTGTATCATTATATTTTACAGGTAAATGTGAGTTGATTTCAATGTTGAATGAATCCACATGTATGTGCCAAGCTAATGGCCAGCTAATGAAAACTTTACTGGTATTTTGTAATTCGCTGTAAGAAGCTATCACACTTGCCCACGCCTCAATGTACACAAGACAGTGTACAGTTACTCAAACAATGGAAATTCATATTTTGCTTAAAAATATTTAAAAGCTGCAATGTTAGAACTATCTTTGATTTGGGATGCTTTTTTTGATTGGTACATGTACATACATGTACCTGAATAGTCAAATACTTACGAGTTTTTGTCTATTTCTTACAATAAACATTTTTGTGAAAAACTGTATATAAATAGCTTTATCAAGTTATTTTGAATAGCTTAAAAACCTATTTAGCTATTTCAAGCTATATTGCTAAATCAAGAGATTGTGCTGGACCTGGTAATTGGTCCCACTGTGCTTTTTCAGTTTTTGTCTACTCTGGTAAAATATGTACGTAACTATGTAATTACCAACATCTAGAGCATACTGGTCGTCTATTTATCGCTGTATCTTTTTCTTTATCATCTTCATTTGCAAACGAATATAAAATATCAAGGAATTCTGGCGATGTTTTGCCATCCTCTGACACTTTCATCATTTTCTTCAGAAATTATTGAATAAATGGCAACCCGAGCCCGACTGATCGTAAACTGATCCCGACCGGAATGGCGTCAGATTTATTATATAAAGTAATTCAGCTTCAAATCTCATTTCAGGTTCTTGCAGATGGTTTAGAAATTAAAGAGTATATCATAAAAGACACATAAATCCATTTATTCGGGTCCGTAGAACGCGGGGGGGGGGGGGGTACTTTTGAAACCGTTGCTACGGGCCTGTTATTTTCGAAAAAATGGAAATATAATTGTTTTTAAATATTAATGAAATTTTTCCACGGATGATTATGAAGACAAAATCAGTGATTTATTAAGTTAAATTAATTGACCGTCTTATTTTAGTAGCAAGGCCGGGTCAATTCTACATATCTTTTCCACGTGAATCACGTGATAATATTTTCTATCATGCAATGGTACCTGGTATCAAAATGGATGTATGCTATGCTAAGGATTTCAATTATCGTGTGTAGAAAATTCTCAGAGGTGTGGGGGAGGATAGGGTATGCTTTAAACATTGGGTAAAATTTTACCTTGATTTTTTTTTTATAAGGTCCTTTGGTGTGTTCCCGTGGTGTCTTCTACCTATTCCCACTTTTTAAAAATCTCAGTTCCATCTATTCCCACTTGCAAATAACAATAGATGTTTAGATACTAGTTAATTTGTTTTTATAGTAATTAGACTAATTACATCCCATCTTACATTTACCTCTATTTTGTACATTTTAAGACAGAAAATAAATAGAAAAAATGATTTATTTCAAATATATTTCAAAAAATAAAAAACGTGGTTTAAAAAACACTTTAATATCTTGATTTTTGAACATAAAATAAAAAGATTTATGGAAAAAATGCATTTAAAAAGCTCAATTTTAAAAAATACAATAAATAGATTATCAGGAAAAATATTATTTAGTTCGCTTAAAAAATTCCAATTTTTCTTTCAAATATTAGTAAAAAGTCTGATTTATATAAAAAGCCAATTTACCTGTCCTCTATTCCAACAGTTGTTCAATAATCACTGTTTATACGGTAATTATATGTTTATCCAATTAATTATTTGTTTACACAAAAATTCCACCTATTCCCACATAAAATCTTACCTTTTCCTACTGTACATGATTTTCAAAAAGTGGGAATAGGTAGAATAAACCGTCCCCGTTTTGCACACATTTGATAATTAGGTATAGAACAATAGGTGTGAAAGATGTTTTGATAGTATCCCTATCGCATTTCACCATGTTTCTTTATTTCATAAAGATAAAATGAATAAGTAAATGAATTCAATCTTAAATTAACCTGTCTAATTAGTATCATGTGAATATAATTATAGTTTTGTGTATTTTTTTTTCTGTTTTAAAATGATTTTTTTCAAGAACAGATTTAGCGATGGCGGTTTTTATTCCATTTGTGGAAGTCCGGATGAAATCATTTAAGATTTTTTTGACATGGGAATCCTTGTCATAAATATTTGAAATTCAATAATGAAATATTTCATACCATTGTTGATTTCTTGGACACAAAGTGACAAGTTCCCAGACACCTAGTGATTAGATATGGATCCCCCCCCCTGTGAAAATTCTTGGATCCATTCCATCCACGCTGTCTTGCATAGGCTAGTCATGCAGTTTTTTGAGCATACAAAATCTCTGTGGTCACAATACAGGTGTTTTGTAGAATAGGAGTGACAGTATTAAGCGTAATAAACCATGGTTTAACAAAGACTGCAGAACGGCTAGGAAAAAAATTCATCTTGTAAAAAGAATACAAAATAGACATAATTCAACAGAGAATAAAACCAATCTTGTCTTAATGAGTAAAGAATATAAAAAAAAAAAAAACAATGGACAAATGCATACAAAAATACAGAAATGATCTATCACAAAAACTTAAAAAATTACGTTCATCAAATTCGAAAGACTATTGGAAAATTTTAAATACCTCTGATAAAGAAAAAAAGTGTTCTGTTGATATAAATGATATGTATGATTTCTTGAAAAATATCAATGAAAGCGATAATGAAGAGAACTATACATATTGTAATAATGCACCATCCGTCACAAATGCAACCCATGTCACATCCGACGAGGTTTTTAATTCTGTTATTCGTGAAAATGAAATATTAGAAGCTGTAACAAAAATAAAAAAAAAGGTAAATCCCCTGGAGTTGACAATATGCTGAATGAACATATTTCATCAACGTTAACTACATTTATGCCAGTCTATTTAAAAAATTTTAACATCATATACGAAAGTGGTTTTGTTCCCGAAGAATGGTTGATACGTTTTAATTAAACCTATATATATAAAAACAAAGGAGACCCGAGTAAATCTGATAATTACCGCCCCATAACATTGCTTAGTTGCTTAGGAAAAGTATTTACTTGTATTTTAAATACTAGATTGGAAGCGTATGCAAATGCAATCAATCTACTTAAAGAAAACCAAGCGGGTTTTAGGAAAAATTATTCTACACTTGATCATATCCTTACCTTACAATTTTTATCAAATATCTTGATGCAAAGAAAAAAGAAACTATTCTGCGCCTTTGTTGACTTTAAACAGGCATTTGATACTGTATGGCGGAGTGGGCTTTGGACCAAGTTACATATTAATGGAATAAACGGTAAATGTTTTCAATACATTCAAAATATGTACAAAGGTGTTAAATCTATGGTGAAAATAAATGGCATGTCCACAGAATTTTTTAGTTGTAATGTAGAAGTAAGGCAGGGAGTAAATCTTTCACCCTTTTTATTTTCAATGTATATTAATGATCTTGAAGATTTTTTACTGAACAAGAATATTGCAGGCTTACAAAGTATTTCAAGAACCATTGAGAATGAATTATTAATGTATTTTGAATTGTTGATTCTCTTTTATGCGAATGTTATTATGGCTGAATCAGCCGATGAATTACAACATGCAATCAATATATTTCAGACATATTGTTTACAATGGAAGTTGAAAGTGAATGTCGAAAAAACGAAGATTCTAGTATTTTCAAAGGGTCCTATGTTAAAAAGAAAATTTTATTACGACAACTTAGTTATTGAAAATGTTAGAGAGTTTAAATATTTAGGCGTTTTTTTTTCATGCACAGGTTCCTTTTGTAAAACAAAAAAAACACTTATATGAACAAGCACAAAAAGCGATGTATGGCATTATAAGAAAAAATAGACAATTCCAATTACCAGTAGACTGTCAATTTGACCTTTTTGATAGAGTTGTAGTTCCGGTCTTACTATATGGCTCTGAAATATGGGGCTATGAAAATCTTGATATTATTGAGCGTTTGCACTTGAAGTTTATAAAGTATGTATTTAATTTGAAAAGTTCCACGCCATCGTACATGGTCTATGGTGAAACAGGTCGCTTTCCTCTGTATATTTCGGTATATTGTAGAATGATTTCATGTCATATTGGGCAAAGCTTTTTTCAGGCCCACCAAATAAAATTGTAAATGTTTTACACAAACATATGTTTAAACTGTACTGTGATGGAAACTTAACAAACCCATGGTTGGACTGCATACAGAAAATATGTAATATGTGTGGTTTATCGAATGTAAGGTACGAACAGGGTGTCAATATGAATTATAAATGGATAACTGCCACTGTAAAACAAATATTACAAGATCAATTTATTCAAAAGTGGTCTAGTGACGTACATGTAAATAATTCTTCAAAAGGACAGATTTACAGAATCTTTAAACAAAACTTTGGATCTGAACATTATATTGATAAATTATCTCCTAAATTTAGAAAAAATATTTGTAAAATTTCGAACTGCAAATCATCATCTGCCAGTAGAGACTGGAAGATGGTATGGTATACCACTGTGTGATAGAATCTGTACACTTTGTAATAATACTCAAACTGCTGATGAATTTCATTATATCTTAGAATGTAAAACTTTAACTAATGTAAGAAAAAATTACCGGGCAATTATTATTCCCACAGACCTAATGTTATTAAATTCATGGAACTAATGTCAACTAAAAACGAAAAAATCCTGAAAAAACTATGTATGTTTATCTTAAAAATTTATGATGCTGTCTGTCCTCCTTGATATATTTTCCCCTCTCTTATTTATTTATTTTCTTTTTCAATCATCTGTCATGTTTTTTGTTTTGTATATGTACCTCTGACCAGATTGTATATAATGTATATATGTTATTAATGAACCCCATGTACCAATATTTTGGTTTGGGTGAATAAATTGAACTTGAACTTGAGTGATATAGTAACGTGCTCAATCTCTAGTTACAACTGCATGTAATTTTAATAAACGTAAAGAAATGGGAAATAAACCTAAATTAATTCATTAGTGGTAATTGGATGGTGCATAATATATAGGGTTCAATAGACTTGGTAATGAGAATTAGATTGCAGTTTCTTTTTTATTTACTCCTTATTGATTACAATTAAATTTTCAAACGTTATGCGTAAAAATCAATTTTCTCTACTAGTTAGCTTACCACATTGCTTGAACAGTTTTTGGTGTCTAAAGTTGGTTTAATAGATATGGAATCATCGAATATGTTTTGTGCTCTCTGTATTCTTACTTATTTTGCATCTGCTCAGTCCAACACTTACGAGATCTACAGAACATTACAATCTGATCTACTGAAGAATTATTCAAAAGACATTAGGCCAGTAACAACACAGACAGACGTATTAGACGTCAATATCAGCTTTAGGGTGAAAACCATTAATAAATTTGATGAAATTGAAGGAGTTCTACATTTAGTTATTGGACTAACTTTGACATGGAGAGATGAATTAATACAATGGATTCCTTCTAATTTTGGCCAAATGACAATGGTGCGACTTCCCATGTCGAAAGTATGGACACCTTCATTTTTCCTGATAAATTCTGCGACCGATTTTCATGTTAATTTGGGAGATCATGAAATGCAAACTGTGAAATACTCTGCCGACGGCAGTGCTCTGCTCTCTGCTGGTATCATAACATCATCAAC